GACGCGGCGCTAGAAAGCGGCCAACGCGCCCACTCGGAAATGGAATCGAGGAGGACAGGTGATTCCCCCAAGGAACAGTTTAACGGGTCGTTTGTTAACAGGAAGGTGAGCGAAAAACGAGTTTTGGAGGTTGAGTCCACAATGGTCCTTCCATTATCGGTTATCTTTCGCTAGGTAGAGATGTTCACTTGGAATTTCTCATAATCAATTCTCTTGTGAATCGATGCGTGTACGACTAATTCGGAAAAAGTTCCTGGCGAAATGTAGAAATAGTATGCAGTTAAAACTTCATGAAATATAAGATGAAAGAGGCATTGATTTATAAAGGTAATTGGAAAATATGGAGGCACGAATGGGCACGATGAATACTGAACCGAATACAACAATGTTTTTGATAATATTATTTGACTTTATAATATTATTTGACAATATTAAGGTTGTAAAGATTTTTGTTGATAAAGTAGCAAATAGTGGCTCACAACATAGCCTAATTTTTAAATACTTATGATTAATATTTTTCCCCGTATTTATTTAGGAACCATTTTTTTTAAAATTAATGAGAAATAACAAAGGTGTTTTTACTCACCTGCACATCACTTCGTGCGTCAGCAGTACCCGGCACATCTCGGGGTTCTTGTCTTGGCCTTCATAAATGATGGCCTGCAAAAGAGAGAAATATTAGCAATACGCAAAGTATTAAATGAAATACTCGAATGTCTTTAAAAAACCGTCTAGTCCGTGACTCATAAAACTATTGGTCGGTAACTTTGCGAATACATCGCTACTAGTTCTATTTCGTTATAAGAATTATAGACACCGGAATTAATACTGTGGTAATGTGATTGATTTACACACAGTCTATCCCATAAGTTACTTTTTCGTGACACATTTTTCAAAGGCATTATTTTTTTATTCTTGGGAAATGATTTCATTATTTATAGTATTATAGAAATGATGAATCAATAAGGTTAGTTTATTAATTGTTTCAAATTCTTTCTGTTATATAACAAATTCAAGAGATTTGAAATAAAATTTTAAATATTAAGTTAAACTTGAAATAATGTAAGGAATATCGCCTCTGTATTTTACGTTCAAGCTGGAATAAACGTAGAATTCTTACAAATGAAAGTGAAAGAGGGACTCACTGGTGTGCGTGTCCAATAAATTGAAACAAATCTAAAACGTCTTCAAAATATGTTCGTTTCTATTAACAATTTAATTTATATTGATGTAGAATTACATAAATACAGTGCTAGGTATTTGCATAAGAAAATAACAGATTAGTATTTTTGGAGAATTTTAAAAATGTAATTGTTGTCGAAATGATATTTTGCAAATGTTTGGTCACAAACATTTTGTATTCATTTTGTCATTATTTGTAAGGAAATAATTGTTAACAGCTTGTTACTTGGGACTCATCCAAATGTTAAGATGCCGTTACAACAACATTAGGATGTCGTCCAGTTCGATTCGCTTCAAATACACGAAGTTAATACTAGAGTCTTAAAGACAATGTCTCCTTTATCTCTCTGTAAATAATGAAAATCGTAATTACACAAAAGAAAAGATACTGTTCGTCGGTCAATATACTTTTTCAGGAGGCTTGAAACATCAAGAAAGAGAAAAAAACATTAGATGATATTTCAGTAACTTTAGTGTATCTTATTTTTTGTAATGAATCACACAAATAAATTTCATAAGAATTAATTCGAATTAAAAAAAAAACTCTTGCCCAATTTTCTCGTTGTGATATGTAAGTACGTTTGTTCTGATGGGAACAATTTGGATTTCTGTTTATTGCGAAAATAATCACTGCCCTCTATTGTAAAGTAATGACTGCTTACGTACCAGTATACCAGATGCGAAAATAAACATTCAAACTTTTTATTGTTAAAATGTGTGAACACAAATTTATAACGTCTTCTAGTGTGTGCCTTGATGAATTTCAATGTTTGTTTAATACCAAATGGCTGGGAAATACCAGTGTCTGATGATTCTATTGCCGTGCGGACAACTCTTGAGCGGATAGTTCATATAAGAACAAATATATCAGTGGCGCATGCATCGTGAATATCATCGCTGCATCATTTCTTAATCTACATGAGCGTCGGCAACAACACAGATCATCCACACATTTCGTTTTCCCTTTATTGGAATTAAATTGTACAGAAATCAGTACTACAGTACCTTTACAAATGTAGTTTGTGGAAACTTAAATTAACCTCACAAACCAATTTAGTTGTAAATCTAACTACTCAAGAGTAAGGGAGCTCATAAACCGCTTTACTTATTCTCCAACTCGGACTGAATGTTCAAAAATGCTTCAATAGGGAACCTGTTTTAAATTCATGTTCGGGAATCCGTAATTTGAGCAAAAGTTAAAATGGGATAGGTAATTTATTGATTTCGAAGGCCTTCGATGGCTCGTTGGTTAGCGTTCTCGCTTTCCGCCGCGCAACCCTGGGTTCGATTCCCGGTCGGGGCAAAAATTAATTGTGCGCTTTCCTTGCAATTTCCCAGTTCCAGTTGCTATAAGGCGATGAGAAATCTCGCTTCTCAGATTGAGAAGACAGGGGATATTTATGTGCTAACCACACGTACCCCTCCTTAACCGATAACCACAAGGCCGGGACGCTGTTGGTAGGCCTTAGATCCTAAAGAGCTGTTGTGCCAAAGTAAAAAAAGTTGATTTTGCTGGAAATCTTGGTAATGAATAGAATTGTGTATGTGATATTTGGTTCTTTGTGAAACTGTAAATTTGAAACGAATCATGGAGCCTTTGTAATTGTTCTGAGGTATTTATTTTGAACGATTTGGCCCTATTTTATTAACCAAATAGGGCACGCATAAATCGTAATAGATCAGATATGTATATGTATATAGAGCTCTCGCATTGTTCAGACTTTTCACCCGCCTGCCAACTGCCAACCTTCATCGCCTCCTTTCCCCGTTAAGCCGCTTGTACTCCTGGTCGTCGCGGGCGACGCTGACTGTTGCGCTGGCAGCGTGTACACTGTGCGTCGCGTCGGTTTGACCACCCAGCGGCAGTCGCCGGACGCAGTTAGGGGCGGCGAGGGCGGAGCAGG